CCTTCAGAAGAAAATAATCATTTCTCTACTCAAGAGCTACTCGCTATTCCAACGTTAGAAAATCCATTGTTTGGAGAACAGCAGAGGAAAAATCGCTGATTACTCCAGTATCATCTTATGTGAACTCACTGGGCTGTGAGAAACTATCCCGGGACACAAAGAAGGTCATGAAATCGTAAACCATTCGAACTGAGAACTTTTGCGTGTTGGTTATGTCTGTGCTCAGAGCTGTCCACCAGAGAATTTGCGGACTTTTCTAAGTCTCAAAGCTCGCCTGCCACCTGTCACAATGCTCTATTCCGCCCGTTAATGCCCCATTCCTTGCCACAATAGGCCTCCAGCTTTCCTGGTCTCTGCTTTGATGTATTGTTTCATTCATTTGTAGACCACTGTCGAATTCTACGTTTTCAGTGTACTGTATAGTAGATCTTACCTTGCTTAATGAAATAAAATGTAGAAAAACACAAAACTTTGGTCACTTAAAACGACACCAGACCATTGTGAAAGAGTTACTTGAAGGATGGATGTGGGGTACGAGAGCCAGGGGAAGGCAAAGAGTAAGATGTCCTGCAAACTTATTTCTTTTACAAACAGATGTATTAGCAAGGAATGCATTTCCAAAGAATGTTCTTATACCTTTTGAATAAAAAAAAGCATATTCTTCATAAAAAGAAAGACGGTAAACAAGCTTTAAGACTATACCAATAACCCAATGTGCCCCAAAATTGACGAGCACCTGATTCCACCGTCTTGTGACACATAATTTATTTTGGCAATCCTAGGATGGAGCAATGGATTAGTTTGGGGGTGGGGGGGGGGAGGTAACCGGGTATATTGAGCACAGAGCTCGTCCCACTTCTTTCTTACCCTTAATCCTATGCGTACGTCGTGTTTTACTATGGTATCCATACGACGTGGGGGAACTCTCTGCCACCTTTACAAACAGGAAATTACTCTTTAAATCGATCCGTACCCTTTGTACAGCAGTCTGTCAAAAGGATTTTTTGAGAAATACTGAAAGTTTCAAAGAGATCTTCGTACTAGAAGTATTCTAGGGTAATCCTCGCTCTTGTACACATCGTAGGTTTCCGCAGAATAATCTTCTCTCAAGGCAGCATTTAATGTCTGTTTATGCTTTTCTTTGTAAAAGAGGGAATTTATGTAATATCGTCGCTGCCTTTTTCTAAGCGACTACTACTCAGTTTCGGTAAATTTTACAGGAGAGTGAAAAAACAACAACTAAAAGCAAAGCTATTGTAGGCCTACACATTTATTTTAGCTGTTTAGAATCTGACGTTATATCGACTATTGGGGTAAGTTAATCTGGCCCGAAAGCATATTATTATATACGATACACAGGAAAAATTTAAAAGAAGACTAGCAAAACAAAGACAAAATTGGCTTAGTGTGTCTGGGTTTTTGTTTTGTTTTTTGTTTGTTAGTTTGGTTTTGTTGTTGTTGTTTTGTTGTTTTTGGTGGGGGGGGGTTGGGGGGGGGGTGGATCCTTCTATCAAGAATTAAAACAGTATTCGGAACAAACGAGTGTAAAAAGGATTGGAAGACTGAAGGAACGGGAAAGAAGAAGAACGAGGACGATAAGAGGACAGATTGGGAATGTAAAAATAAAGAGACAGATATTGAGAGAGTCATGGTGAGAGATAAAGATTATTTTATCCATAGTAAGTTGATAGCTGAGTGAGAGATTTGAGCAGAAGGGGAGGGGGGAGGGGAGAAAAGAGAAAAAGATACAGAAGCAGAGAGAGTTGATAGATAGATAGATAGATAGATAGATAGATAGATAGATAGATAGATAGATAGATAGAGAGATTGGGGGAGGGGGCGACGGGGAAGAAGGGGAGACTACAAGACTGTTTTAGAGAGATCATCTCTCACATAATTCTTTTTTTTAAGTATCAGGTAGGCAAAAAAAAATTTCTATAAAAGGAAATAGATTTGTTTGCATTTTCTGTTTTATTTGATTCTGATACAGTAATACATATACAGACAACGACTTCAACATTCAAAATAAATACAAAAGTGAAGAAACGGTTATGATAGAATGAAGCATGAGTTACAATTATGATAAGAAACATTAAAATATCCGTGATATTATAAGAAACGTAAAACATACTACGGTGTACATAGTAGCAAAGGTACTGAACCAGTACCGGCTTAGGGAACATAGCTTTGTTGTGAATGTATCAAGCACCTTCAATAATGAGAAACATAACCCGACACTTTACTTTAACCCCTTGAGGACGTAATGGACACACATCGCTTCCTTAGAATTGCAAAGTTCTATCTGACATTTTAGGCCGTTTTGAGTCATTAATAAGACTTTGAGGCCAGAAGCTAAATGCCATTGTTCTATCTGCTCTATCAAAATCGAAATAAAACTCTCAGTCGTTATTAAGATATTCAAAGAATTGTATTCGGAAAGGCTTGGCATGTTGTGAAAATCAAAATTTCATTTTTGACGTCAACTTTCTCAAAACTAGGTACTGAGCAGATAGAACTTTGTAATTCTGTGGGGTAGCGAGATGTCCTACAAGCAGCAGACAAAAGGCTAGGGTATGTTGCAACATATTTCGAACCATCGTACACACATCAGAGACACCGATTTACATAAATGTACTTCGTATTACTTATGCTGTGGCCTGCTTTTTGAAAGTTTCCAATATTAAGAAAACAGAATTGGGAAATCTTTATGAATAAGGAAGTTGTTATGATTCTTATTTTTTGTTGTTGTGGTCAAGTACCGCACAGCAACGTGCCAGTTCAAAGATCGATAAATAATGTTTGTTAGTGTTTGGCTGTTAAAACCATGCCATGTGAAGTTCAGGTACTAACATATCGTTGGTAAACTGTTAAAATGTATTAAGCCCAGAAAACGAAATTTGCAGAGGAGAAAAAAAAAAACCTGTTTTATTTTTTAAGCAAATTGTAGCTACATTATTATATTATTTTTTGAATGGTGAAAGGATTCAGGTTTAACGCCGCAAACAACACTATTAGGTTATTTAACAGGCTGGACCTCCGAGTTTAAGGCCCATCTCCGAAAGGGCCGAGCGAAGTTGAAAATTCGTGTAAAGTGCCTTTCCCAAGGACACAATATCGGACCGTGCTGAAGCTCGAATCCCCGAACCTTCAGTCTTCCGATTACGAGTCCGGTAGCCTATCCACTAGGCTACCAAAGCCACTACATTTTATTATTATAGTTTTCTTGCTTTTTTAACACTTCAAATTTGAATTTCGACAAAATCACCGATTTAAAAAACTGCATTTGAAAAATATCAAAATATTGGGCTTGGTACAATTTAGCAACAGGTTGATGACATTCTTTTCAAGGCGCAGGTAACGTAATGCGGATCCACTATGTTTCTGTACTGAGCTAAACGATAAAATCTTTCCAACAACACATCGTGAAAACACTCAATCACTATACTTATGTAACATCAACACCATCTGATAGCTTCCAGCTATGACCAGAAAAAAAGCATGCAATATTGAAGATGTGGGTGCAAATGGACGCCTTGTCGTTGTATTGTCATTATCATTATATAGGTTAACCTTTCAACACTGTAAGGTTATTTAAGAGGCCGGGACTCCGAATTTAACGTTCATCTCAGATAGAGCAGAGCTAAATGGGTGGAGAACCTTAAAACAGGCTCTCTGCCATACAGCACCCTTACGATCCTGGTGGATTATATGGGATCAATCAAGAAATCAAACATTCATCATTTAAGACAAGTGAAACAACGAGAAACTTAAGGTCCAATACCCAATCCTGCGAACTGAGAGGAAACTTTCTTTTTTTCCAGTCTGTCCCTGACGAACCTAGATTTCTTTCGGATTTAATCTAAAAGCGGGCACGGATATTTGGATCTAACCTTAACCTATTCAGCGATATTCGGATTAAACTTAAAGCACTCACAAATTGATCAAGTTAGTACTACCACTCAGTCCTACTAAGGTCAGTGTAGAACAGTTAACTCTTTAAAGATGTAGGGGATACATTATTATTAGCATGTCCGATCAGCAGAGGACCAAAGACAATAGTATTGCGGCACATTTCAAACTATCATACACACATTAGAAACACAAATTTGAATATTCCGTCGTATGCATGTTATTAATTGCTTTTTAAAAGTACAGTAATGTAAAGAAAACAGAAATGAAAAATATCTGTATGAATAACGAAGTTTTGTTTCTTTTTTTAAGTACTCCAAAACAGCGCGTCTTCAAGTGTACAAAATGAGTGTCCTCATTGAGTTAAATGAAAAAGCTGTTCTTCTATTCTGGTACGCAGCACCTTAAAAAGCGTGTCATAGGTTTCGCTCCGTTAGCAAAGTTGGCATTGTGCAGGTTTACAGAGCGGATGAACCCCCGGGGCGGTGCTACTGACTGAAGTGTCTTTAGGCCATTCCCAAAGAGAAAAGATTTCTCTCTCTAATGCTAATTGTAATTATAAATGGGCTGATTCACCAATGTCATGCTCATAACTGTGTCTGAACTGCGACAGGGAACCGATGCTTTTTCTTTCCTAATCCTCACTATTGTCATTTTCCTCTACTTCTTTTGTATGTTTGTCACACTACTCTTGTGACCCGCTATTTCCGGGGTGCCTTGATAGTCGAAGCATACTTTGTGCTGTTGAAGCTAGAGAGGTGAGCAAAGTAAGTCTGATTCCCTGTAAGGACTTCTCTGTTGACACCCACCCTTAGCGTACGCTGAGCATCCACCCCTTGGCGCTCATATGATCTTATGCAGTTGCAAGCGCCGTAAAACTCTACAAAAACAAAAGGAATGGATGGCCCTGGTTTGAATGCCAGACTGGGTGTTCTTGAACTCGGGTCGTTTTGTGGAATTTTTAAGGCTCTCAACCCATTTGGCTGCTTCCCATTGGAGACGTACGTTAAATTAGGAGGTCCCTCCACTTAAATAACATAATAATGTTTATAAGGGCGTTAAACCCACACATGTATTTCACTATAGATTTAGCTGGATACAACAAAGTCACGCCAATTTTATTACCACAAGTTTGAAATATTCACCCCCAAACAGCGGAAGGTGATAATTATTATTGGTGACGTAGTGATAGTTGAACTGTGAGATCTGGCAGTGAGAAGAAGGTCAGGGGCTCTCTGAAGACTGGTGCGTTTCCTTGTTCCGACACACGATGACCGGCACGGGGGAGTGGTGTAGTACACTGTCACTGGGGGAAAATACGAAATAGTTCATTGTATAACGTCAATCGATTGTTAGATACCTAAAGCCTAAATGTTTGATTTTTTTTTCCTTCTAAACTGCAGATTCGTAATGAGTGGTGTGCGCTGCATGTGCTCAAGAAATATTTAAGCCGAAATTCAAATTCTAAATGAACCCCCCCCCCCAAAATAAAACAAAACAAAAAACAAAAAACAAAAAACAAACCAACCCCCCCCCCCCCCCAAGATTCATTAAAAAATGAGTTTTGTAGGTACACTTCCTCTGAAGAATGACACAGTGTTTCTCTCTTTCCTGATAGAATTTTTGTCTTATGGGCTTAGTACATTTTAACAGCTTCCCGACGATACGTTTAACGCCCCTTGCAACACTGAAAGACTATTTTGAGAGACTGGATCTCCGAGTTCATCGTTGGTCTCCGATAGGACGGAGTCAAATTGGAAAATAATTCGTGTAAATTGCTTTTCCCCTTTTCCCCAAGGACACAAAATAATAATAATAATAATAATAATAATAATAATAATAATAATAATAATAATAATAATAATAATAATAATAATAATAATAGATAGCATTTGTATAGCGCATATCCCCGCTCAACAGCAGGCTCTATGCGCTTTACACTATATTATTACCCCAGCAGACCATAGAACACTCCGAAACATTCTCAGCTTCCCGGGAAGCATACAGTGCAAGCAGCCGATTAAGCGCTCAAACACTGACAAACTGACACGATCTTTCGCTGTCTATAGCCGGGTACCCATTCCCACCTGGGTGAAGTGAGGAAATTCGTGTAAAGTGCCTTTCCCAAGGACACAACGTCGGGCCCTTGACGGGATTCGAACCCACGACCTTGCGGTTGCGAGTCCGAGAGCCTAACCACTAGGCCACCGACGCAAGGTCCGGTAGCCTGACTATTAGACCACCGGCGTCACTGTGATAAGGAATGACAGAAACAGAAAGAAGTATGAACTTCAGAACGAATAGTACGTCTTTACAACAATAGCTTTCTAATTAAAAAGACAAGATTCCAAGCTTTAATATGAGATGCGACACGACGGGGGGGGGGTGTTAAGTGTTACTTATCCTATGTATGTTATGTTATTGTGACGTCATTGAAAGCCTAATAACACCATTATGCCTCATCCGATTTTGGTATAATTTTGTACAGTGTATCTTGGCATCCCAATAAACAGTTTACCGCAAACAGAAATTCTGTTGCAATTAGTGACGGGTCAAGGTGATTTTTGTGCTAGGGACAGTAGCCTACAACCCGAGTTTTAGTTTTAGTAGGTGTTTAACGCCACTTGCAACACCATAAGATTTTAAGTGCCGAAGATTAGAGGTCTTACAAATAAGAAGGAGGAGAGATAAGGACGATAGATGTTTGATAGGAAAGAAGAAGCAAACCACTACCCGAGTTTGAGATAAAGTTAGAGAAAAGCGCACCTTGACTACACCGGTCATTTTGTGTAATAATTAATTAATTGTAGACGTTTTACGCCCCCAATCTACACAATTTGTGTCTCGAGGAGGTGGAATCAGGCGCTTGTCATTTTTTAAAAGCATAATATGGAGTTATTGGTGTCATCTTAAAGCCCGTCGAGCAATTTTGCTATTAAAGGAGGTGGCGATCACCAGGTTCAAAGGTAGAACTAGTAAGAAAATGGCTGTCGAAGTTTTGGTGACTTCCAAAGCTTGAGAGTCCTTAGAAGCTGCAAATTTACATTTTTGTGTGTCTTAAATCAACATTTTGCTGTAAAATCCTCATAGAAATGTGTTTTTCATAGGGACCTTTAATGTGCTGAGTCAAAAAACAGAATTTCGATAAAAATTTCCAAAATGGACAAAAATGCCATTTTCTTCAGTTTCATTATTTAGACCAGCGCCTGGTTTCACCACGATGCTTCATATTTATAATATTTAAGAGGCGCGCTGCATCGATTCTGCCAGAGAGGAATATAACGTCCCAAAAGAAAGATGGAGGTACTGGATACAAATTCTAGCCACACAGGGATTCGAAATCATGTCTTGTGCGTGCGACGACGAAGCACCCTACCGCTACACCTCAGAAATGTTTCATGTAAGGAACTAGCAAGATGGAGTGAAACATGGGAGTTTCAACAAAGTAAACAGATATACCGTACCAACAAACAACACTCTCCAGACACCAACCCTTTCAAAACAACATCGATTTTTTTAGAAAGAGAGAGACACACAGAGAGAGAGAGAGAGAGAGAGAGAGAGAGAGAGAGAGAGAGAGAGAGAGACAGACAGACAGAGAGAGAGAGAGACAGAGAGAGATTCTTTTCAAGGCCCAGGGACTAACGAATAATGGTGGATAGCTACCAGGACAAGATAAACAATCTCAAAGTATCTCCATGTAATTTCGATTGGCAAAAGACCCTGGCGACTCCTCAACCGCATTAAATTGATGGTGTGGTAGACTTTTAACAGTAACAGCGCACCCAGAGGGATAGAACACTAACGTACTATTTGAGACTACACGATCATACAAAATCACGGGAAGACCAATAATCTTTGACTAGTCTTTCTTTCTTGCCTTCCAGGCTTCTTACCTTCCAGGCAAGGGTTAAAGCTTTGTTTGTTTGTTGGTTGTTTTTTATCTCTGGAAAAAGAAATTCTTGGTGGCTGCTTTAAGTTAACCCAAACAAATAATACAACACAAACCAAAGTTCCAAATATAATATGTTAATGCTGCTGCTGCTGCTGCTGCTGCTGCTGCTGCTGCTGCTGCTGCTGCTGCTGCTGCTGCTGCTGCTGCTGCTGCTGCTGTTGAGGTTGAGGATGATGATGATGATGTTGATGATTACTATCATAATTACCATTATTATTATTATTATTATTATTATTATTATTATTATTATTATTATTATTATTATTATTATTATTATTATTATTATTATTATTATTATTACCTCACACTGCCTAGAAACGTCCTCTTGAGCTTGCCCTGTCCACGGCTGCCAATCACGATAAGCCCCGCCCCCATCTTTTCAGCATACTTGACAATCTCATGCCACTGCTCATGGCCGTGAGGACTGGCAAACCGAGCGTCCTTGACCTGAGGGGAGATTCAGGAAAGAGGGGTTGGGAGCGAACCCCACGTCTTTGTTATTATTATTATTATTATTATTATTATTATTATTATTATTATTATTATTATTATTATTATTATTATTAGTAGTAGTAGTAGTAGTAGTAGTAGTAGTAGTAGTAGTAGTAGTAGTAGTAGTAGTAGTAGTAGTCATTATTACAGTTACTATTTTTCTTCTTCTTCTTCTTCTTCTTCTTCTTCTTCTTCTTCTTCTTCTTCTTCTTCTTCTTCTTCTTCTTCTTCTTCTTCTTCTTCTTCTTCTTCTTCTTCTTCTTCTTCTTCTTCTTCTTCTTCTTCTTCTTCTGTTGTTGTTGTTATTGCTGCTGCTGCTGCTGCTGCTATTGTTGTTGTTGTTGTTGTTGCTGTTGTGTGTATGTGTGTGTGTGTGTGTGTGTGTGTGTATGTGTGTGCATGTGAATGTATGTGTGTGGTGTTTCTTTGGGGGGGGTGTATGTGTGTGTGTGTGTGCGCGCGCGCCTGTGTGTGTGTGTGTGTGTGTGTGTGTGTGTGTGTGTGTGTGTGTGTGTGTGTGTGTGTGTGTGTGAGTGTTTGTGTGTGTGTACTCTCTTATCTTCAGCGCCTACAAGACTTTAGAACAAGACTGTCAGTAAATTTCTCATAGCAGAATGACCAGTGATAGGACCAAGTGATCGCAGAACACCGTCATTTGGCACAACCCCTTGTTCGATTTCATGCTCGTTTACTACAATAGAGTTCGATAACATACTCGTTCACAGCAACAAAATTCGATTTCGTACACGATAATTGCAACAAAATTCGATTTCATGCTCGATGACTGCAACAAATTTGATTAGATGCTCGTTCACTGCAAAGAAAATTCTATTATAAGCTTGTTCACTGCCACAAAGCTCGATTACCCGCTCGTTTACTACAACAAAATAGACAAAGAAACAGGTACACAAACAACAGCAAACTAAATGCTCAGAGTAAGACATCGCCATACGTCTCTGTTCAAAATGGCGTGTGGTGGAGTATTACACGAATACGGGGTGCCCATTGCGGATGGTATCGGGTTGGGTCGGGTCGAGATGATCGCCACACTCGTCGCAGGAAAACAAACGCGTTTGTTTTTGAGGCGACGAGTCGGGTGCGATCGGCTAGTGCCCCGATAGCTGCTTTGTGCTCTCAATCTGGCTAGTAAACCAACTCGACCCGACCCAACCTGATCCCCCAATGGGCTCTCCGTATAAGCTGTCGAAACGGCAGAAGACATTCTTAGACTGTGTCCTGGAGCACACACGATCTATTCGGAGACGTACTCCCGCACACAGATGCACTGCTTTGGGGGTCAAACCGCATATTATTTGCTGCAGATCACACATATCATAGTCACTAAAACTATCGGAAATCAATTATTTTCAAGAACATTTCAACCCTAACAGCAAAATATCAAATTATGGGTTAAAACAGGGGAGGGGGGGGGTGTTGCCCCCATGAACCCCCTCCCAGATTTTTTTTACTTAATCTAGAGGCACAAAGCATTTTGATTGGTCTATCTCCGTCGGAGACGTCTCCCGATAGAAACTGCCACAAACTGTGGTTGAAACTAACCCCGAGTCGAGCGCAAGCCTCCATGTAGAATGTCTTTAGTTTTTCCGTGATATGACGTGTCATCTCCGTCATCTCGTGCAGCTTTGCAGGCGCTGGCGAGTGGAAGAGAGGAGAGAGATTAAACAAATGTAGGGCGTTGAGGAAGACCAATTTGGGACTATGATATAGGATGGGTATGTATTTAAGTTTATTGATTAGAAGATAAGTAATATTATGTAGACAGTCCCTTTCCCAAAGGGGGGGGGGGGGCATTTCTCGTTCATGAACAGTAGAATTGTAAATGGGCTGATCCATCAATGCCACGCTCATAACTGTGCCTGATCTACAACAGGGAACTGCCGCTTTTTCTTTCCCAATCCTACCATTGTCATTTTTCCTCTACTTCTTTTGTATGTTTGTCACACTCTTGTGACCCACTATTTCCAGGGTGCCTTGATAGTCGAAGCAGACTTTGTGCTGTTGAAGCTAGAGAG